TCGATTTTGATTGGCTAACGGCCGAGGATCTTCAAAATTTTGGCCCGTATTACATAATTGTTTACTAATTTCCGGCCAGAAGTTACTAAAAATAGAAAATTTTTTAAAAAATAAGCCAGCATTATAGTAGGAACAATTTTCACTTAATAGGTGGCTGCGATTTCATTAGTAAAATTATGAGTAATTCCGGCCTAATTTTTTGATCGTTGCTCTTAATCAAAATCGAGAATCTGCCGCGCATTTTTTGTGCGGCACCTAGGTTCAAATTAAAAACCCTACCTGTGCAACTCGAACCTTGTTTTTTTACTAAAAAATTTTTTCATCCTATCCAAAAACTAAATGTCTACTTCTACCGGAAAAACAAGTTCACTTCCTACAGTCAATGAAGTTGAAGGATATAAGACAACGGAGGATTTGATAAATTTTTTACGCGACCAAGATATAGGGCTGGATGATGATGATTTCAAAATTATTTCTGAACAAAAAATTAAAGGTCGGAATCTCCTTAGGTTGAATGTGGATAAACTCCTGAGCTATGGTTTAAAAGGAGGGCCAGCTGAAACCATTGCTGAACTTATTGAAAAAATCAAGAGTGAAGGACAGGGTAAGTAGTACCACGACTGCATTCGAATATTCTAAACCTATACTGCTTTCTCCGCGTCTCATAAACTTATTGTCATCGTAGAACGCGTTGCAACCAGAAAGCTTGGTATACTATTTAATGTTTTACTAACTTGTTCTTTTTCACATTTATAATCCTCATTTCTTCCTTCCATTATTCGTGATATTCCGTTTTTTCTGTTTCTTGTTTGAATTGAATACCAGCTGTTAAGCATAAGAAATCCGGTAAGATGATTTACTGCCATGTATAGTTACCGGCCGATATTTATGACTAATTGGATTATTTCATCAGCATCAGACGAATATTTTGACATGATGGATAAAATATCATGTCCTTCAAAATGGGCAAAAGAATGGACTAAAGATAGTAAACAAAAGAATGGAATTCTATTCCGCAATCACCGGCCTACTCATGCTTCTGATATTCCAATTCAATTTTACCATCAAATATTTGAAACGTTTATCAACTTTACACGGGATTGTCAAATATTAAATAGAGAACGTAAACTTGTGCTTGAACTTGCTTCTGTGATGTCCGGTGTATTTTCAGACGAAAGCCAGAGGGCAGATGCTTTCAGATGCCGGCTTGAGCTATTTTTTGATCACAAAATTGATATTCAGTCAGTAGAATCGAGCCAAAGTTCACGAATTGAACGAAAAACAGATGGGAGTATATATCCAAAGATCGGCAGAGATAGAGTCCTTTTAGCAAACTTAGAAGTTAAACCTGAACCTGGTACGAATGGCGATTGCTACATTCAGAATGATGCCTACTACAAAGAATTTGTTATCAAGTCCCGTAATCAGAAATCTAAGTTTTATAATAGGACCTGTTTGCCTGCTTTCCTTATCGATCTAGATGGTATGTATATCTTTTAATACCCGAACACCATATCCGATTCTAAACACCATCTAATTTTAAAAATAACAATACAGGACCAAATTTATCGATATCCGGTGCTGTTTGTGTCCCTTTTATAGTTTGTGATCGCCTTACAGACATCTTTCCACTAGATAGAATTACTTACAATCACGCTAAAGCAGATGATATTGCACGAGTATTTCTGGCCCTAAAAAACTCTATACATATATTGAAAGATTACTATAAATCCGTTTATGAGTTAAGAGAAGTCATTTGCACTACTAGCCTTTGGTTTCCATGCATAAATGAGATTAATTTAGAAGAAGGAACGGCTACCATTAAATATAAAAAGAAGCATTCTATACATCGAAATTTATGGATTGTGGAAATCCAAACTGAAAATACGCAAGAGAAGGGTTTAGTCAAATTCGTCCAAACATATTCTAAAGAAGCACATAACGCATGTTTCGAACTAGGTTTAGCACCAAAATTGTGGTCAGTTAATAACCTTCAACAAGGTTGGAAGATTGTCGTCATGGAATATTTGGAGGAGTATAAACCACTACGCATTGTCGATTTGGAAACATTTTCCCAAACAGAAAGCGTAGTTAAAAATGCTACGAAATTGTTTCATGATTCCGGTTACGTACATGGAGACCTTCGTGATGAAAACATAATAGTCAAATATAAAAATGAAAAAATTGATATAAAATTTGTGGACTTTGATTGGGCAGGAAGAGAAGGGGAAGCAATGTATCCTGAAAGTCTGAATCCTAATATTAATTGGCATGTAGATGTTGGCTGGCACAAGCTCATCAAAAGGGAGCACGACCACCATTTAGTTGATAATATTTATCTCGATATGCCTGATGACAAACCCTCAAAAAAGCGACGGCGCCTCTCAGAATGGATGGGTTAATCAAATATTTACGCTCTTTAAATACTTTTATTTTTTTAATACAGCATTTCTATTATTGTCATTTACACAGCACGAATACACTAAAAATGTACTTTTATCACATAATAATTTTTTACGTTTCGAAAAAATTTGAAAAAGAATTTTTTTGTACCCATGTTTTACTCGGATACGTATTATTTCACTGACAATCACTTCACAGACAGCTTAGTTCACCGACAATTAATTCACAGGCAAGTTCATTTCACCGACAATTATTTCACTGACAGCTAATTTCACCGACAAGTATTTTTTATAAATTACACTAACCT